AAAAAAAAAAATTTAAAAAAAAAAAAAAAGAAAAAAAAAAAAAAAAAAAAATATATATATATATATATATATATATATATATATATATATATATATATATATATATATGGACTAATATATATATATTAATCAATACACCACCATATGAAATAATAAATTTTATCTTTGTTGTTTCCTTTCTAAAAAATTTTTTTATTCAAAAGCATCAAATTAAATTTTCCTATTTCTACATGCATTTCAATCACAGAATTATTTAACATCAACGTCAGCAGTGCATGTAATAAATTTATTCACAGGTGAATACAGCTACAGATGGTTTCTGATTGTGTTAAATAAATTACAGACTCTGCAGCTATCTAAAGAAAATTCACTGAGTCCCACCACTAGTAATATTTTGAAGTTTATTCACTTTTAACATTTAATTTTTCTCCATTGGACATTTTCATCATGTCAGATGCTCTGATCTCAGCTGATTGGATTTTAACACCAATGTATCTTTAATGTTTGTTTGTTTTTGTTTTTTCAGACCTTTATTCTCAAAATTATCCACAGTTAATCTTCAGAGCATTTTAGCTACAACTAGATTTTTTTGCTGTAAAAAATCTCACGGCTGCAGATTGTTTTACAGCAGACAGCCGCTCCCCTCTCTTGCAGGTATTGTGTACCCCCGCTAAATCTTTCAGGGGTACACACAGTACCCGACCGTACCCGCCTACTTTCACCCCTGCTGACAGTGCAACATTTTGCAATCATTGCGTCAACTTGAACATGGACCAGACTGCATAATCAGCTTTTTTTTTATTACTTTTTGTAAACTGGAAAGTATTAAGTAACTGGAAAAAGTTTTAAGATACTTTTAAAGGTAGGTAACACATGCTCAATATCCATGTTAGATGGTGATAATCACATTATTATTGATAATAACTACTTTAAAGTAACTGCAGCACTGCAAACATAATGAAAACTGAGGAACATCTTACCTCTTCCAAACGACTGAGGTGAACTCGTCTCCTTGTGCGACTCATATGATGGGAAAGAGGAATTGCACTTAAGAAAGACTCTTGCTTCTCCCTGAGTCATTAGATACCACAGTATTGGTGAGTACCAGTTCCTCTTTTCTGGTTCTATTCTGTGAAATCTAAATCTAAATGCACTTCACTTCAAACTCGCCGAATACAGTTTTGCAGTTTTTGTGTTTTTGCAAACTCAAGTAGTCACATGCTGAAGTTATTCTTAGGCCATGTGAGTTTATCTCCTTTTTTCTCTCTTCAAGGAACGTGTATAATCGATTTTTTTTTTTTATTTAGACAGGACGACTATAAAAATTAAAATAAGAAACACCAACAAATGATAGACAACATATCAGCTGTCTTTAAGATTGAGAGATAATTTTAAAATATAGAATTTTATTCTATATTCCTTGGAAACGCATTTTATCTCAGAAATATGAAAAAACAACTGAAATTTGGATTTAATGGTACAACTGAGACTGAGCTACACGCAGCCCAGGAGGGAATAAACAGCCAGGCCAGCTGTTTGTGAGCATAAAGTTTTTTCTTAGATAACAAAATGCTTTCTTTAGAGTGAGTTTTATCCAGTTATTAGAAAAAATCTTCTGATGTCTTTAGTGCGAAGAAGTTAAACTGCTAAGAGTTTCTGTGGAGAAAGTGATATTGATGTTACTGCATGACAAACTAATATAAAGTATTCAGGCAACACATTAATGGGACTAGCATGGTGAAACATGCCTGCACTAGTCAGAGTGACATTTGTCATTGGGCAGAAATTCTGTTTGCTTTATGAATATTTCCAGTCATTTTAATACCATTTGATAAACTAACAGGTCTGTGAGACTCAGACATCTTGATTGGTGATCCAGTACTTGTTTCATGCAATGCAATGCAAATTTATTACATAAAAATCATTCATAGTGATTCTTGGATTTTTTTTTTTTTTACTATTATTCTTATTTAGATTCAGTCTCTTACATTTGAGGTGCATCTACGATGAAAATTGCAGACCTCTGTATTCTTTGGGGTGGGACACTTGGAAAAATTGGACTATTAAATAAATCTGGTTCCTCTTTCACAAAATAAATGCTTCCTGTTAAATGCTACAGTCTAATAAAGAAGGAAGTTCTTGCAATTCCAGGGGCAAAAAAAATTTACTCGGAAGGCTTTTCAAAAAGTGACAGAGCTGTCATATGTATTTATGAGAAATGCACAAATCTGATGTCAAAATTCTATTGACCATTTTTTTTGTTTGTTTTGAGACATTCTTAAACCTAAAAGGTGTTTGAGCCAGTTAGATGCACATCATCAAACTGACTCACAAAAGTGAGAGTTGTATAGAATAAAGGAGATGGATGTATAAGATGCTCTCAAACGGAGTTAAAACCTCAACTTGAGCTCATAGCAAAGTAATAATACATTGAATATGTTCTGATGAAGCTTCATGTCACTTATTGCTTTTGTGCTTCAGATTGTCATTATTGTTAAGGACCAAAACACTCAAACCTCACAATTTTGTATTCTCATTAAGTCACCAGTGGCATTTTATATCGACAGCTTTTAGCCATTAATCACCTTTCAACCATTTTTACATCTTGCTCAGATTTTTTTCATGGTTTTTTTTAAACAGCACTTTCAAAAACCTTCTCAAAAAATAGTAAGAAAAATACCAAGACTGATGATTTTTTTTCCAGCTTTAATGTTACAGAGTTTCTCAAAAGTATGTAAGTTTCCATTTATTATCAATTTGACTGTTAAAAATATATGAACACATTTCATAGTTACAGAATACCAAACAGAAACAGCTGTCCCAGACAGAATGAAATCTCTAAAACATTTTTTAAATGCACACAATACAGATCACAGCTCTTTAAACATTAATCTGATTCACTTTAAAGTCATAAATGTGTCACGTTTCCCCAAACCACTAAAGTGATTCAGCGTTTCTCAGGTGTGACGCCAGGGGGAGCTGTGGGTGCATGTTTTAAAGTTGTTTTCACAGAGAGCTGTATTTGAAAACCTGAGGCAAAGAAATGAAGTTACACATGTTCTTACAAGTCTATAAACATTCATAAAAAAATAGGCGTACTTTATCACAGTAAAAATAAAAATTTTAAAGTCAAATTTACATATCTTAATAGAGCACATATCACAATAAAATCCATTAATACTTAAAAAAATGTTCAAATCAAAGATCGTATTCAATAGGACCTCTGAGCTGCAAAAAGTAGTGAGTAACAGTAGAAGGTATTTACATTACATTCACAGAAAATATGCTTTACTCGTATTAAGAATAATAAAAGCATCTTTGGAGATAAAGTGTCATCAGATATATAGACAATATTTAACAAAGTCTCCTTTCGAAAACTGTTATAATTTATAGTTAAAACTTACAAAATGTGGTTCCTTTAACTTTCACTGCACTGTTTTATCAGTTGTAAACAGTTGTAGTAAACCAAAATTCTCACTAAGCAGTCAAAGATGAAATACTCTGAACCACCCACGACAAGCAGTGTTAAAAAAATATATACATTTATCAATAAAAAAAAAATGGCTACATAAACAGGATCAGCTCCTGAGATTTAGCATGTTCCTTAAAAGCTGTAAAAACTGCAGCACCAGAAAACAGTTGGCAGCATTTATTTCCTAATGTCAGAACTGCACCCATTCGTCATCATAATAATTATGACGGGCATCACATAAACACCATTTGCTTCTAAACTGTTTCTGAGCAAAACTAGATCTTTGAAGGCAGAAGACATATGAGAATATGTAGGAAAATATGTAAATGGATTGACAACCTGAAGTTTAAAAATTAATAGCTCCCAACATGTCATAAAAAAAACATAAGTAAAAAGACAAAGAGGAGGAAACAAGTTTTAAAAGACGGCAAACATTGGGTTCCTGATGTCAGTTCAGGTATCTGCCATAATGTAAGATACTGACTAGCTAAGCGACTTCAGAGAACCTTACTTTGAAAGAAAACCTTAAAGTACCATTTTGGAACTGGTCTGTCCTATTTCTTATATCATGACCTTATGCTCACCATATGCGTTAATGCTATATCCGTACCAAGCATTATGTTGATTTCATGTAAATTTGTCTCAGTATCCCACGCTATTGGATCAGAGACTCTGACTCTTCAGTTAGATCTGCCAGAACGCTGAAGGGGTTCCCCGTAGGTACACCATGGCTACCTATGGTGTACCGGCGGAGAGGCCTGGCAACATCAGGACGAGAACTGGAAAAACTCACAGAGTGGAGAATTTTCTTTTCCTTCGAAGTGGAAGCTGAGGAAGAACTGGAGGAGGCAGAAACGTTGTTTGAGAAAAGATCAGGAGTGCTTTTGGGTCGGTCCTTCCTAGAAGGAGCAGGGAGCCGGGCTGGGCCTGAACCAGCCGGTTTGGGGTCTTTCGCCTTGGACACGTGGCCAGGTTTTGGATCATGGCTTGCCGATGTGGCTGCTGGTGGTGTGTTGCTATGGTCAAGGGTTTGGGTAACTTGGTGAGAAGCATTAAGTGAGGATGAGGAGCTCATTGTAGGTTGGTTTTGCTGTTGAGCAGCACTGTATTTGGATTTAAGTTCTTCTACTTCTGCTTTTTGTTTGGCGATGATATCATCTTTTTCAGAATTGCATAACTTCAGCCCTTTGATTTTTCCTTGTAGGCGTTCGATTTCACTTTGTAGTCCTTTGATTTGTCCTTGTAACTGAGTGTTGGTGGCATTTTGCGTACTGGGACTGGACACCTGTATTGGTTGAAGGGATTTCTGCCTGCAACCTGTGAGTAAAGGGGAAAAAAAGGAAAACAGGTAAAACTATTAAGTTAAAGAGAAAACCTCATTGATGGCTGCAACCAACCACTTTGCCCTTTCATATTAAAACATTACAATTTTACTCCTATAATTTGCCGCCTGTTTCACTAGGTTTTTCTTCTCAAGTACTATTTTTGCTGAATTCTACAATTCTTAAGATACTTCAGGTATTTCATTGCTATATTCTATAAATATCCTTCTCTATATATGTCAGTGAAACGGTGGGTGCACTGTTCTAAAAACTTAAATCTAAAAAATGAATTTTGACTATTCTGGATGGTAATTTAAGATAATTAGAGATATCTTAATTGACTAATGTGTCTAGTCATAAACCTTTCATGACTTTAATAGTAAAAGCTCATTATCTAAAGTGGGTCCGTCCAATATATACGTAAATGAGAGATCTATGCGTCTCTACCAGCAGTATCGGACATGCTAAGTACTTCCATTAGCCAAGATTTCCAACAATTCCAGTGTGGATTTTTTTTTTGCACGATAACTTACACAAGTTAAAGGGATATTCAGTCTTCAGAAGTCATTACATGTCTACAAAAACTCATAGGTTAGAAGTAATTGTGTTAAAGTAAACATTAAAATGACTGATTCCATATCCAAACAGGAGCTGCTGCAGAAAGTTTTCGTCTGCTCTGGTAGAGGTAGTAAAAAGTTACAGACTTACAAGAGCGTCCATATTTCTTCCACAGAAAATAAGCGACCGCACATAACCCGAGTGCAGCTGCGGTTACCATGACGCTCCACACGATGCTGCTGGTGCAGGACCTCATGCAGTCATCTGAAATAATAGGAAATCATTTATGGCAGGTGATAAAAAATATCTTCAAAGGCTTTTCACTTAAACAAGACAAAAAAATACCATTGAAGATTGATGACTTTACTGAGTGCTTCATGTTACAAGATTAAACAAAAAGCATCAGGTCTAATGCTTTGTCAGGTCTGAGATGTGAGGAACAACCAAGCGAAAACTGCAACCTTGAGTCTCATACACGTCTGAATTAGTTTATGTTCCATTTAAATTTCACAAACGAACAGCTACATTTTGTTTATCATGCAAAATAAAATATAAAACTACATCTTTAGGCTTACTGTATAATAACTACAAGCAAATATTGTCTAATTTAGTTATTCAGAAAACATTGATTGTTCCTGGACCAAATTAAGTCTTGATCAGTTGAGAATTGATGAGAAGACAAATCTAGACTCCAGAACAACATGATGTGTCAACGTGTTGGGTCTCAGTTTGACACATTTGATTAACAAAATAGAACAAAGCACACCGTCTAATAAAATATGTTGACGAAAACATAAGCAGACAGCTTTAAACGCAACCATATAATCCCTAAGTTATCAGATTGAAACATATCCAAATACATTCTATCGTCTAAACATGGTAATTATATTAAAATTGATAAAGTTCTGATTTTCTTGAACCATTATCAATAAAACTTTTCATAACTGCATGACTTATGATTTTTTTTAATAGTAAAGGCAATTATTATCGGCCATTTTGTCCTTAGAGGATGTTTATACCACTTCTTAGTGGTATGAAGCCAATAATATGTAAAATTGGTTCAAATACAAATATATTAAATCTCATGTGCATATCAAACCGTCTTTGTCAGAATTGTTAAGGGTTTTCCCCTAATTAACACCACCAGCTCATGAATATACATTCAACACATTACTGTACCTGGAATATAAATATGAGCATGTCGTCTCTTCAACAGCGGCTGGTGAACACGGCAGGTCACTCTGAGATGAAACAATAAAAGCTTTAAGTTTTACTTTTTATTCAACCGATTAAAGAAAAACATCAACATGCAAGTAACATCCCAGCAGGCTTTTTGTGTAAAACAAACAATCCCTCTTGGTTGAGGTGAAGAAAGTTGTACCCATTGGTGACGATCTGCAAAGACGCTCTCCGTTTAACATTAAAACATCCAGCTGAGTCCAGATCAATCCGTGGATCTTCGGCTTCAATCTCTTTGCCGTTCTCGTCGTGGAACGTTATCTCCGGCTTTGGGAACCAGCGCTCGGCGCTGCACTCCAGTGTCAATCCCCCGTTGGCACCAGAGGGAACAAAGGTGAGCTTTGGCTCAGACGCAGCACCTGAAAAAAAAAAAAAAAGATGTACTTATAATAAAGAAAACCCGGAAGAAAGTAAATCATTTAAACCATATGTGATTTTTGTAGGTGCGCCATACTGTGTGAATTTTGCGAGAGATCTAAATGACGTATGGCACAGGTGCAACTTACAAGAACGCTAAGATAAACATTTCCTGCGGCTGAAAACGGCTTCAGGAAACATGACAAGAACAGTCTCACGTTCTGACGAGGCCTTCTTCCTTCCTACAGTCATCCATTTACAGAACAAAGAGGCACTTCGAAGATTGATTTCACGACTGTGTGTTGCCAGACTCAACAGGTAATTCCCCTGCTGAAACTGAAACTTGTTATCCTAATACAGATTTCAGTACCGGTTTCAAATGCAGGCCAGTTGAAATATTGTAGCCAACTCAGTATTAGACACGAGCCGTCATCTGCCGTTGTGATGACAAGTGAATTTAAACACATTGTTTGCTTTAGTAGTAAGTATCTAAAGCTGCATTTTTAAAGTAAACCATTTATGATCACCAAAGCAGTCCCCAAGCTGGCCTCATAATGTCTTATCTGGCTGAAGGCCTGGCAAAGGTTTTATACCGATTTCACCCCCCATCTTCTGATGCTACAGCCACAAATATCACCACATTTTTGTTAGTATTTTATTTGACAAACTAGATCTGGTTTAAGACACTGTAGCCACACCATAAAACAATGACCAGCGTTTTATGGTGTGGTTACAGCTGTAAGTCATTGGGGAAAATCTGCATCAGCTTTTAACATTTAGAGAATCACTTTTCTGGCTTTCCTTTTTGCAAAATAACTTAAACTAAGTCACGTTGGATTGAGAACATTAACTTTAAGTCTTGCCACTGCATTGGCTACAAGTCTGGGATTTGACTGGGTATTTATAACACAAAAATAAGATTTTATTTAAAAACTAGAGTCTAGTTTAGAGACTAGAGTCCCCAAAAGGCTGATTCAGGTCAAAATGCAGTTATCCTAAACTGGTTGTGAGATTCAGTCTGATTTTTTCTTTCTTTTTGGTTTGTTTTATGTGTGTATCTTTGTCACATTTTTTTGTTTGTTCTTTACCTTTTGCATCAGAGGGTTTACATTAGATGTAATCTACCTCAAGACCCTGTGATTCAAACGTCCTGCTTCTACAGAGAAAATCTGGAGAACTGTCAAGCAGGAAACTATAAATATGGTTCGAATTATACCGCAGCTCATCTAGGTTAAAAAAAAAAGAAAGAAAAGAAAACCTCAGAGGATATCCTGGATTGCACTCGCACTCAGTTTCTCAGACTCCTACATGTTTCTTCTTCCTTCCTATAGTCTTGCTAAACGCTGTGGATGTCGTTCAGCTAGTAGATCAATCTCCATTCCGTGCTCAAATCTTTTGCCGCCCTGGTTAGAGCTCCATTCCTTTTACCATCAACTCTGACCAAGTTCACCACAGCAACATGTTGCTGCCTGCCACCATGTGTCACAGTGGGGGATGTGTCCACAGAGGTTATGTTAGTGTTAGTTTTGCACCACACATGGTATTTTGAATGTGTGCCTTTGACTTTGGTTTCTTCTGACAAGTTCACCTTCTCCCACATGTCTACTGTATCCTCTACGTGGGTGGCGGCGTTCCTTAAGCTAATTTTCTCTTTCCTCTTTTCAAAGTTTGTGAAATGAAAACTTATAGTCGCCCTGTTTATCAACAGGTTCTCCAACAGGAAGTGTGGATCTCGGCGGGGCCACAAAGCTGCTTCTCTGATTTAGCCTTTCCTTTCCAATAGGAAACAGGCCCCAATTTCCTTAATTTTGGGAGATCAGTGATCGGCCGATTCTGATATGCGAGGCCAATCTTAACTACTTCAGGGCAAAAGTCTAAAAATCTGCCACTGTCCTCTTTTGCTCTGCTGTAAGAGAGGTAACAGTCCCACCAGGTCATGTCTGCACATTTGCAGTAATAACCGTCACCTCATTGTTGTCAACTTAGGAAATTTCTTGCTATTTAACAACATTTCAGACAAAAGAAAAAAAATCAGTATGAGCCAAAAATAGGAATCAGCAGGCCAGGCTTTTTAAAGATCGGAGATCGGCCAGAAAACTGCAATCGGTGCAGCCCTACTTTCCAATGTTGTCAAGCTTAAAGTTGTACTTATGTCACTTGATTGAAGACAACTTCAAAGTTTAAGATATTTTTAACTACTTTATAGAATTGGATTTCTTTGATTTGTAAAGTACCTCGAGACAAAATATACAGTGAAGCTGAAGCTACTCTACACAAATACATTATTGAGCTGAACTTCCTCTTAACTTGTGAGTTCCTGATTCCTTGAACGTCACAGTAGCTGCCTCACTTTGTGTTGGCGTAAAAATAATAAACAGGCTGTAAATGATTATTTTTGAAGATTGAAAAGGCACAGAACCAGATTAGCAATGAAGAGTGTCAGGATATACATTGTCAAGATTCGCCCAGCAGCCACAGAGATGACCTACCCACAATGAGGTCCAGTGCTGCTTCAACCTGCCGCTGCTTCCCCACCATGGTCCTGCACAGGTATCGGCCCCCATCGGACAGCCGCAGCTTGGAGATGACCTGAGAGATGTTGCCGTGCTTCACTTCCTCCAGTAAGAGCTTGGTCCTGTTGACGAAGGCTGAGTTCTTCTCCTCCACTGTCTCTCTGCCATGGCGGTACAGGAGGGTGATGTTGGGGGACATCTCAGCCTTGGACCACTCCACGGTGAGGAGGTCGCTTGTTCGGTTGGTTCGGCAGGGCAGGGTGACCGTCTCATTCTCGAGAGCAACTATTGTCTTGGGAGTGACGTCTGCCGACACTGGTATCGAGAGGGAAGAAGAGGAAGAAGAAGAGGAAGCAGCGACATTAATAAATTGTGTAACATTATTTGACTTTCAATGGTCATTTACTTCGTCAGCCTTGAGCATGAAGAACATTCCAGAAGTGCTCGCCTCTTCCGCTAGAATAAAAGTTAAGCGGCTGTTCATACATGAAGTTACAACTACAAATGTATTTAAAGCAGATTTAATTCGCTCTGTATGTGTAGTTATACGTTTCTACTCGAAGAATTAGCTGAGTTGGTCGAATTTAGCTGCAATAAAAAGGCAGGAAACCACGGCATGACGTAACGTAAAAAAAAAACAACTCGATTTTATTAAGTTCAACTTGGACCGCGTTGATTTGCGACACGCAAACAAGAAAAAAAGTCACAAACGACATGCTATTTCGGGAAAATTAATCGCAGTTACAGGTTAACCAGGCCATACCTGTGGAGCAGCACAGGGCAAAGACGACGACAGAGAGGACGACGACATGAGCGGCGGAGAAACGGAGAAATGCTCTGCTGTCCGTCCAGCAGGTCCTTGAAATGACCAGAGGCCGTCTATAAGCTCGGTGAACTTGGAGCATTTTTATTCCAGGAGCACAACTCGAGGTACTGGGTTCGAGAGCCTGTCGATCCAGTTTCGCTTTGAAAGGGGGAGGGAATAAAGGGATACTTCCTGCTTAACAACTTTTTTTATTGTTATTGTAAATTATTTTTATAATATTTTTTTATTATTATTATAGTTTTCATTCTAAGTTTAATTGAAATTAATACATCTTTTAAAATGTCTAAGCCATTTACAGCGCAGCCAGCATTGCTGTGCAGAAAGTTTAATAGCTAGAAATGTTTTCACAACAGTTGTTCTTCCAGAGCAGCCTATAGCTCCATCATCTGGAGTTAGGCTTGAAACTGCTGTCTGCATTTGAGACTGAAGCAGCATAAATGTCTGCCTGAACTGCTCAGTAAGTCAGTACTGTGACTAACAAGGATATTATTTCAACTTTAAGATTTTATGTGTAGTTTGACTGCTGTTTTTTTTTCTTCTTTTTTTAAATTACTAAACACAAAGCTCATGTCATTCAGTTTTGATGGTGGGCAGAAAGCACAGAAGAGGGAGAAAATTCTACAAAATATCAAACCAAAATAAAATATCTTGTTTAAGAGGGAGGCTGCTTGTTTCAAAAGATTCACCAAACCTTAGATGTTTTTTTTAAGCAATTCAGAGAAATGCAAAACAATCTACGTATACTTTTATCTTATCAAGTTGTGTGTCACTCACTAGACTGATAACAGTACACAGACAACCATCTGCTCTTTAAATAAATCATGTCCAACTTATCAGATGGCTGGCTTTGGCACAGTTAGCAGCGCCGTAGCTTTGCATCAGGATACCGGCCTGCAGTCATTTAGCGTGGAATTTGCATGTGTGGCTTTCTACCACAGTGTAATAGTCATGTAAACCATGACTATTAGGGTAATTAGTCTCCCTAATTTGACCTTTAGAGAATGTGTGTGCATGGTTGCTTGTCCTGTGTCTGTCGGTGTTGCCCTGTGATGGACAGATGAATGACCTGTCCAGAGCATATCTTGCCTCTCGCCCAATAACCCAGATAGGCACCATCTCCCTCACAAACCTGCAAAGACGACTGGGAGCAGACAACGGATGGATGAAAGCAAGGAGTAATCTTACTCCCAGTCTAGTGAACAAAACATTCAATAACATTCAATAAATATCATAGCCCAAAGAAGTAAAACCCAAGAATTCAAGTTAAATTAAGATGATACTTTATTGTCAATATGTCTAAAACTTGTTTTGCCTTGTTGCTCCAACACGACAATACATTACAGAAACTTGACACAGCTTGAACATATGCAAAGTGAAAAGGTAAAATGTAAAAACAATTCCTCCTGATTTATCAGAAGATAAACATGAATAAGAACAGACTAAAGACTGGAAGTAACAGTAAAATGTTAACAGATTTAAGAAAGGACACAACTTTGGTGTAAATTCTTGACAACATGGCTGACACGATCGTACCACTTAAGATCAGAGGTCATGATGGTCCCTAGACACAATGAACCATTTACTCCAACACTGACCAGTGGGTGCATTATATTTTTGCTTTTCGACAACTGTCTCCTTGGTTTTATATATTCTGAGACTCGAGTTGTTTTATGTGTAGAAGGAGACTTCTGCTATGTGCAGTTGTTTGATTATTACTACATCATACGCCCTACAGTGGTGGTGTCCAAAAATGTAACTATCTTGACTGAGTCATGATGCAACATGCAGTCATTGGTGTAGAAACAGCACGAGAGAAAAGACCACTTGTGATTTGTAAAAGAAAAAAATGGAGAATCTATTTGCAAATGTATAACATGACACACATCCTCAGGAGTTTGCCACACAGCTTCATTGGGACAATGTTAAATGCAAAGCTAAAATCGATAAATAGCATCAGTGTATATGTTGCTTTCCCTTTGAAGCATGGAGGGACGATGCGAGTACCCGGGAGAGCAGACCTGACACATCAGCATCAGGTGCCAACAAAAAGCATCGAATAAAGTAGAAGGTAGGTGGTAACAAGTTTCTTTGATAATGATAGAAGTTAAACCAAATAGTCTGTGTCGCGGCCTTCTAAGTTCCAAAAGCAAAGATTTACAGGAAAAGACCTTGAACGCACTTCCGACTTGATTGTTTGAAAAAAAAAAATTGATATTTTCTTGCAAAAATATAGACAGAACAATAATTTATATATAAAAAAAACTCTTACAAGACACATGGAAATGAAAGTTAACTTGATCTGATGTTTCAAGTACAAAAAGTGGTGTTAAAAAAATTTTTCCAAAAACATCCCGTCATCACACCGGACACAGGGTGTCCTTAATCACTTAAAGTAGAAGGAATAAAAGTTACCAAAATAATATAAACTATTTTTAATAAAATTAATTACAAATTTTGTTTCTAAACTAACTGAAGTATATTCTGTCTAAAGAAAAACTAAATTGACAGAACTTACAATTTACAAAAATTCAGCATGAATAGGGACAACATGGTGTACTCATCAAGGAAATGTTAGGCTGAAGTGAAACACTCATAAAACACCTGAGAAAACATTCAAACACACATCTTAGAATGTGTTGCAAAAGATATGCAAAAAAAAGTACAGTCAAACACCCAACCACTCTCCAACAACCTAAGTGTCAGTCAGTAGTAACCTAATGAGTCACTTGCAAATTACGTCACAATTACAAAGGCCAGTTCCCTGTTTAATTTAATGTTTAAACAAAATTCTAGTACAACAAAATATTCAGTAAATATAGATTTTTTTAAAAGTCTAACACTAAATTATGGAAAGATTGTTTTAGTCTTATTCCCACATAATTTAAGACTTTGTTTGGCTCACTAACAAGCCTAATTGCTAACTGGAACTGGATATGGTGATAGTTGCAATATCTTTTTCGTACAAGACCAGAGATGTTCTAAAAATGATGTACACTTTTAAGACTGAAACCCGAGGATAAGAAAACTGAAGACTGCTGAGCAGAAGTCTTGATATACTTGGTTTTAAATTAAAGTTTTGTAGGCTTTTGTCCTGATCCTTTGAGGCCTATCACCGTCAGTTTTGCTAGACAATGCATCTTCTTAGAGGTTACCGATAATGTAATAACAAGGCAAGTTTTCACTCTCAAATATCTAAAAACTTAAAATCTTGTAAAGAGCTCTTAACACTGGAACTGAAAGATATCTTAAATATCCAAAAGACGCAAAATAACCAAAGCACAATTAAAATAAAAATAACACACAACAAAATGAAACACATAATGATGTCTGTGTTGTTCTTAAGACATTTCTATAAATAAGTAAGTTCATAAGGTTAAGTAAATAATTCTAAAAATATTTCGGTGTAATTAAGAATGATTGCAAGTTGTTTAAACAATTCATGCTTTATATAAGTTTGCATGAAAAAAATAAAAAATGCATTATCGATAAATTCTACTTCCGGTTCCGGTTACGTACTTCCGGTATTCCGTTTTTTGCTTCGAAGACAGGTTCACATGCAAGAGGCAGCATGGAAATGTTATCAGATGCCATCCACTCTGAATTGTCATGCAGGAACGCCGCAAGTTGTATTATATGGAAGATTATACTGTTTAGTCGCATATTATTGTTGATTTTCCTGTAATGTTACTTTAGTGAACTTGAACCACTAAATTTGGGTATATATGTCTCTCCATGTTGAGATGGAGCATATTTTTTGTCACTTCAGTTTTCACCACATGTTCATGAAGACCATTAAACAAGCTGCAACTAAACTCCAGGGTCTTCATTTGTGGTTTAACTTGGTGTCACCAACAGCTACGTTGAAAACACTACAATGTCTCCAGAAAAAAAATACCCTGCAAATTTTATCTGGAGATAAAATTCCTATTCTAATTTCATGGGAATAAAAATGATCAAGTTCTCTTGCAATTTAGCTTGAAATTATCGGACTAACTTAAAATGACCTAGTCCTTGCCACATTTTAGTTGTTGTGGTTTTCTTGTTCATTTAACAGTGCCTCTGAGCTCTCATTGGCATTTGACTGGTAGCTTAAGGTCTTTTGAAAACTATTGGAAGAGAGCAGAGAGGAAAGGGAAACAGACCTGTCGTTGCTCAGTAAGCTAGGGGTTTTGTTTGGTCTTACAGCAGTCATTTCATACGTTTTCATAGTGGACGTGTCCTGTCCTGTGGACGCGTTGTAGCTGGGTGGCTGGGTTACTGGCTCTCTGCCATCTAGTGAGGTTCTGGAGTTATCTGTGGACTGCTCTTTCTGTGAGGTACCACTGTGTCTGTATTCATTACTGTCCGTCTTTTCCTTCTCTTGAACAGCTTCTTTCATATTTCCATTTCTTGACAGACATAAGTGAAGTCCTCTCCCTGTGCAATTACAGAAAGGAAATATCCGTTAGCACTTGCTTCACTCGTGACTTTTCAAATATTTCATTGCCAAGAAAATGTTTTTATGTGCAACTTATTTTATTAGTGTTAAAATCATTTCCATACCGTTTGGAATATTTTTTTTAAAAATCTTTCACAGCAAACTTCAATGTGTGCTTTTAGGATTTTAAGTTGTTGACCAATACAAAGTGGTGCATTGTTCTACTTTCAAGTTGAAGGAAAATGACACATAATTTTCAAAATTATTACAAATGAATTTAGACACAGTACCAGGCTGATTTACACTATCCCATTGTATCCCTTAAATATAGTATATGTATTGTTCTATTATTGAACCTACACCTCACTCTTCATTTTTTAGCTTTCTTGTTTTTTAAGGTTTTATTGGCTCTAGTGGCCTTTATTTGATAGTAAATTGACAAGAAGGTGGGTAATGAGAGAAGGGGAAAGACAAGTGGCAAAGGTCACCAGGCTGGGAATCGAGCCTGCCCTCAAGGACTAAGGCCTCCATATGTGTGTTGTGCTTAACCCCCGCGCCACCACAGCACACCCCTATTTTTTAAGCTTTAACAAATTTCCTTGCAGGATTGACTTGTGTTTGGCAAGATGTTGCCACAATCTTGTTTCACATGGTAACATTGTGTTTAAGTGTATTGTTCATATCCTGCCCCTTACAGAGCATTAAAATGTCAGCCGAAAAATTCACTTTGACAGGAGCGCCACCCTCCATGTATTTGTGGTGCTCTCTCCATTGCTTGTATCTCAGGGAAAAATGCAAATGTAGGTCAGGTGTTTCTGATGTTTATTTGCAAAATGTTTTTTTTTTATATTTTCCTTCTACCATTGTATGTATTTTTCCCAAAGTTGTGTAGCAATGTTCAGGTCATGTTAGTGCTGCACATCTCCTATTTTAAAATGTCCTTCAGCTTATTGCAAGTACAATGTTCTGCACAATTACTTCTATTAGTTATGACATTTTCTGTAGGATGTTTCATTGTGTTTTGTGACTTTTTTTAAAGTAAGGATTTATCTGAAGCCAAAGAAAATGACATACAACTAAAGTAATTTAGAAAAAAATGTTTCTTTCTTCACTTGGCTGCAGTGAGCGTACTTACCCCAGGATTTTTTGTCTATCAGGAAAACAATTCCACATATTATTAACCCCATCACGAAGGAAGTGATGATTCCTGTGATGGTTGAAGTGTTTGAGCAAGACCTCATGCAGTCATCTGAAATGTTAATAGAAAAAACTTTATACGTTATGATGCAAAGCATATCAGAAAAGTTGTTTTTTTTTTCTTTTGGAACATGTGTAGATGGAGAAATGCAAAGTGAATACTACTTAACTTAGTTACTCTTTGTTCTGGCTAATTTTTCACCAAACATAGTTTTTGTGTTAACATGGTGTATTTTGGTCGTGATGTTCAGTTAAAGGTGATAGATCATGTTTTTTCACTACGAAATAAACTCAAACTTGCATTAAAAACTATCAATCACTTATGCAGTGCAAGAAAACATAAAGCAGAAGCTCTTAAAGTACAACCATGAAAGAATGTTTGTTTCATTTCAGATCAGTGTAATCTGATATACCTGGAATGTAAATTTCTGTCTTCTTGGTCTGATTGAGCTTTCTCTGATGGACTCTGCAGGTCACTCTGTGGTAAAAAAAAAGACAAAGTGTCAGTTTTACTTTTATTTCAAAATTTGAAATAAAAGAAAGAACTTGTCATTTGAGCACAATGTTTTAATATCTAACATAAGACATCGGCTGGTTCTACCGTACAAACATATACAAGAGAAAATTATTTTGTTGCTTTAGTGCCAGAGTAACTGGAGTGTCGCCCCGCATGGAAAACAAGTGTAGTGGTGTGTTCTCCTTCACTATTTGTTGCTCACGAAACCCCTAATTATCACATGAATAAATGAAAAGACAGTATGTGGAGGCACAAAAAGTTTGCCACTTACTGCCTACTTTTACTGACTTTATTTCAAACACACATAAACCTATAATTACCTGTTGATGGGAGTCTGAACAACTGCTCTCCTGGTAACAGTAAAACATTCAGTAGAGTTTGGACCTCTTGTGGGTTTTTCTGCTGTAATCTCATTTCCTTCATCATCATGAAACGTTATGTCAGGTTCTGGGAACCAGCACTCTGCCTTACACTCCAGGGTCACTCCTCCACCAGCAGAGGAGGGAACAACTGTGAGCTTTGGCTCAGGCATGGCACCTGGAATGAGATTCAACCAACCCTTATAGGACTCTTGATAAAGATTCAATGTCTGATGAAGCACAAAACATAATCCTACCATGAAGCCAAACATAAGACCAAGACTCACCCACTTTAAGGATGATAACTGCGTGAACCTGCCACTGCTTCTCCCTGCGGGTCCTGCAGTGGTACCTGCCTCCATCAGACACCCTCAGGTTGTAAATGATCTGAGAAATGTTGCCGTCCTTCAGTTTGTTCAAAAGAAGGTTTGTCCTGTAGTGGAAGGCCGGATTCTTCATCCCAAACGTCTCGCAGCCATCCCGGTACAGTAAGGTGATGTTTTCCTTTAAGCCCTCCTTGGACCACTCCACTGTGGGGAATTCACCATCGACAGTGATGCGACAGGGCAGGACGACGGTTTCAGTCACATGGGCTGTTATTGTCTGTGGGACAATATCTGCTGAGGCTGAACCTGCTGGGGAGAATAGCAATAAAAAAAACTATGAAAAGAGAAATCCAATGCTGGTTTTTGTTGTTGTTGTTGTTGTTGTTATTGTGAAATTAACACAACTGCACTGCTGCCAACAAAGTTTAAGGCATTAATCTCTCATCTAAGGTTCATTTAAACTGCCAACTGAATGGTTTAGAAAGTTTAGCCATGTGTTATCATGGCCTAGTCAAACTCCTGGCAAAAACAAACTGGCAATGAATATAGCATAAGTGGAGAACAAATGCTAAGAGCCAATCCGACCAGAGCACCTTCTTCTATGCGATTTGCTGCTCTGCACTGATTTTGGCAAACAGTACATCGCCTTGGAGTTTACATAGAGTAACAAACATTTACAGTACGATCCATTCAGGAAAGTGATTCTTAAATCAGAAAGTTTGGAAAGGTTCTGTTCTATTGACACTTTTGAACAGTAATGTAGTTAAGGTGATGGGTTATAGGTTTAAATCAGCTTTTAATTCAAACCCAAAAGTAGCTGATTTGCATTTATAAAAGGTAATAACTGCTAAAATTGCATGAGCTTTCTTGTGAAATGCATCAGATAGATTTTAGCAACTAGATTTTGGAAACATGCAAAACACTCAATTAGTTCCTCTATACAAGAGCAAATTTGCTTTAGTCTTAAGAAAACAGTCAGGGCTTGCCAGAAAATGAGCAGCTTTTTTTATTTTTATTTTATTGTTTTTACTTTTAGGTAAAAACAGACAAATCTATTTCGAGCCCAGTAAAGACTTAAAGTCATAGCGTTTAACAATCGACGTGTCTTGAACACCTCAACAAGTTTAACTTCTTCGACGCCACAATTTGCTGCAAATAACCCACTTCCTGTTTGCGTTGCATCACCGTCAGGACTTGTTTTCTTTTTTTTTTATAACTTGTCGCGCAGTGATAAGCTGAAGTGAACCCTAATGCCTAAGTAAAAATAAAAGACCCGCACTATACGTAAATGAACAATATATTGTAGCCAAATGTGCTTGATTAAAAAAAAGGAAAATGTCAGTACCTGATGACAGTAGTAACCCAAACAGGAACAGGACGCAGCCTGGGTTTGTGACCCAGACGCGGATCGACGATCTGCATGTGAATGTCATATCCGAAAACACACCAACTTCATTCACGGAACTTTCACTGAATCCTCTCTGCCCCGATCCGAAAACTTTGTCTGGCCGTTTCTCTGTTAATCGGTGCCCGGTAGCTAAAGTGCTCGTGCTCTCCTCCTTCTTGTTTGTAACCTCCGTCTACGTCCTCACGCGATGATAGACGGAACGTTCTTATAGACGTCAACCTGACATCCTGAAATCTGATAAGTGGGGCGTGTCAAGGGGCTTGTCACAGGGGAACAGAATTTCGCGCAGAACGATCACAGGTGTTGTGACTATTAGCGCTACCTCGTCAGATCTGGCGAGTTACTCATTACTCATGTTGTAAAAAAAGAAAAAGGAAACTCACTGCCATTCAGCTTCTGTCTCAATCACACAGTTTACAAATAAAGTTTGCTGTGACATTCGACTTACTCTACCTTTTTTCTGACCATAAAACGTCAATAATATTTAATAGACTATTAAAAAGAAATTAGCATTTGACAACGGATTGTGTTGAGGACAGTGTGAATTTCATTTATTACATTATCATTATTAATGTTATTATTTTTAATTTACTAATTTGGTTTGTTTTGTTGTTGTTGTTGTTTTTACTATACATTTTGGCAGTTTCACTTCAAAAATGGCAAAAGATACATTAAAACTACACTATGTTTATATATATTTATAAATAGCTATAAGTGAGGGAGAAAATCCAGCAAAGAAAAGTCTAATTCCATGAGCTTAAATACTGAAGAGTGTGATTGTAGAGAAGATGTAGCAGCTTAGCAGGGTGCAGCTGGAAGTTTAGACAAAATAATAATCTTTTAAAAGGGCCGTAAATGAAGCATGCAAGTGTTTGCAGTTCTGGTGTGTCATGATCCTTTGTTATGGTTGTCAGGACTCTGGCTGCAAGTGTTTTGTTAGACTAACTCTGGCAGGTTAAAACAGTACAACACGGAAACACATTGTGTTTAACTGCTTATCTGACAACAGCATTTATGACATGACTCATGCTGTGTTTGCTCTGAATGGATGTTCTTTGCATATGCAAGACATTCAAGATGTTCAAACTGGTTAGTGATCCAAACAAAAAGGAAGGACACACAGAAGTTTAGAAACTGACTTCCAATGCATAGAGTGAGATTTAAATTCATGATAAAGTCCTAAATCAAGCTGCAACCTTTACCGTTCAAAGATGATGAATGTCTACTGTGATTTCAAAACAGCCAAAATGTTATTTTTATTTTTAGGCTTATTGAAACATTAAGATGTTTATAAGAACAATGGTTTATTTATATATGTATATATATATATATATTATGGGGAAAACAAAGCATATTAGTGAATATAATGAAAAGAAAAATATTATATTTTCTCACAAATAAAAAACCTTTCTGTTAATATTTTATGCATTTAAAAAAAATATTTGTTGTTTTTTGTCATCCTAACCAAAGTCCAAGGAGCCATAATATTAATAACTGTCAGGTAATCAATACATGACAATTATTAATGCACATGTACACAAATAGAAGCGAAGGGGATGTGGAAACATTACATCAAGTGTTTTATGATCAGGGATGTTTACACTGTTCAGAGTCNCACTCACTAGACTGATAACAGTACACAGACAACCATTTGCTCTTTAAATAAATCATGTCCAACTTATCAGATGGCTGGCTTTGGCACAGTTAGCAGCGCCATAGCTTTGCATCGGGATACCAGCCTGCGGTCATTTAGGGGGTTTTTTGTCTCTCTAATTTGACCCTTAGAGAATGTGTGTGCATGGTTGCTTGTCCTGTGTCTGTCGGTGTTGCCCTGTGATGGACAGATGAATGACCTGTCCAGAGCATATCTTGCCTCTCGTCCAATAACCCATATAGGCACCATCTCCCTCACAAACCTGCAAAGACAACTGGGAGCAGACAACAGATGGATGAAAGCAAGGAGTAATCTTACTCCCAGTCTCGTGAACAAAACATTCAATAAATACCAGCCAGGTGCACATAGACTTAAACGCCCAGAGAAGTAAAACCCAACAATTCAAGTTAAATCAAAACAATACTTTATTGTCAATACATCTAAAACTTGTTTTGTTGCTCCAACATAGTAATAGATTACAGTAACGTGACACAGTTAGAACATATATGAGACTAACTAAAAAAATAAAAAGGTAAGAGGTAAAAACAATTCCTCATGATCAGAAGATACACAAGAACACATAGATCAAGGAATAGAAGTAACAGTAAAATGTTGAAGTAACTCTTAAAAAGTTGTGTCCTTTGTAAAAAAGTATACACAACTTTGGTGTACCTTCTTGACAATATGGTTGACACAATCGTACCAGAGGTCATTTAAGATCAGAGGTCATGATGGATGATCCCTAGACTCATAAAACTGTTTACTATCCTGACTGAGTCATGATGCGACATGTAGTCATTGGTATAAAAGGAGCATGAGAGAAGAGACCACTTGTGTTTTGTAACATAAAAAGTCAAGGATCTATTTGCAAATAGATGACATGACACCCAACCTCAGGAGTTTGGCACACAGCTTCATTGGGACGATGTTGAAAGCAAAGCTAAAAATCAATAAATAGCACCAGTGTATATGTAGCTTTCCCTTTGAAATACTGAGGGATGTTATGAGTGCCTGGGAAGGCAGCACCATTTACAGACCCGTTTACCCTCGATGCCAAATAACGTAGTGCGTAGGTAGCTGGCAACAAGTTTCTTCCATAATGACAGAAGTTAAAGCAAATGGTCTGTACTCATTCAAGAAACATTAAGATGAATTGAATCAATCCTATATGAAATACCTGACAAAAAATTTCTACCATAATTCCTAGCTTGTTTTAGGCATAATGGTTTTTCTCCCAACTTGCTGACTGAAACTGGACCTTGCCATGAGTGCCGTAGTCTCCATGGGCCTCATGTACAAAGCGTGCATAAGCACAAAAAATTTGCCGCGCCATATTTTACGCACAAAGACGGCATGTACAAAATGAACCTTGTCAGGCGTGAAAATGTGCGGCAGCCACACAAACTTTTTCTGTAAATAATATCAAACTACAAAATGTCAAAACTCACCTAAATACACAGAAATCTGACTACACTCAGTGTAGTCAAGAAGCATCAAACTCAATGTTTTTTTCATGATTTTAATATTTCATTGTTTAAACGTAAACGACAAGACTGAACCACATTTATCCTCAGACAACAGCATGGTACGCACACAAAATAAAGAAAATAAAAATAGAAGGTTGTAAAAACCTCACTCAAATGTAAACAATACATTTCCTCAGTTTTTGTCTCATAAAGATGCAACGCATCGGTCTGGTAATTTCATTTTCACTGGAAAAAAAAAGGTGGGCGTTTGGAACAGCAGATTAACTCCAAATAGTTCAGGTTTGATTATTTTTAAGGTGATTAAGGTGTGCATATATAAATGCACACCTTAATCACACATATAAATAGCTGTGCAAAGGTGAAGCCGCGTAATTGTGGATCCCTTTGGCTCTGATGGAGAACATCCCCCAATGGAAGGATTCAGAGGAAGCGTTTGATCAGAGATCATATTGATCTGCCGGGAAATGTTAATGACGGTTTATTAGCGTCCAGATTGTCCAGACTGATCATCCTGGAGCTCTGAGCAAAACTTAAAGAAGGAGCCGTGTGGTACCGGTACCGGTCCAGCTGCAGTCATCCTTCAGTGGAGCCATCAGCTTTGTGAATGCGTCTTTATGGACAGAAGGCATTTCTTTTCTGTAAATGTACAACTTATGCGCATGATTCTATTATTTAGAATAAACGTCCACATTCCCCACTCAAAGGACTCTCCGACTCTCTGTCTGGCCGGCTGAAAGCACTACTGTTCTAACAGGCATTTGCACCATCTCTTTATTTATTTATTTATTTTGTGTGAGGCGACCTTATGTGCTCTGAAAGCACATTTTAAATAAAATATATAGTTGTTATTATTATCATTATAAATACTGTTACTGCTACAAACAAGGATGTTGCCATGGTTATTGCTTCACGTGGTGGCAGACTTCCAGGTATTTATACTAATTTACATATGTATTTGTGGGTGGCTACAGGGCCGACCAGCAGCTGCGCTCTATTTCCCGCAAATTAGGATTTATAAAGGAAAGGCCCGCAGCCACGTGCGCATGACTTTATACGTCTGGATTTTTTTTGTGCGCCACACTTTTCTAAATTTGTCTGTTTTGGTATGAAAACTGCGCACTCTTCTATACATGAGGCCCCAGAGATGTTCTAAGAAGGATGTGCACTTTTCAGACTGGAACCTGACTATTAGAAAACTGGAGAGGAATCCCTGAACACAAGTCTCTGAATCCTTAGTTTTCGATTACACCTTTGTAGTCTTGTGTCCTGTCCTTTCTAGCCCTGTCACGATAAATTTTGCTAGAAAATACATTTTCCCAGAAGTTATTGCGATAAACTTTAACGTTGTTGTTTTGAGACCATTTTTGTGTACCGTATAAAGAATGGCATAACAATGCAAGTTTGTGACAGGTTTAGTCTTTTTCCACATTTTAGTCCTTGTGGCTTTCTGGTTTATCCAACAGTGACTCTTTTATCACTTGGCTGGAGTGAGCATACTTACCGCAAGATTTTTTGTCTACCAGGAAAACAATTGCACATATTATTAACCCTGTCAATAAGAAAGTGATGATTCCTGTAATGGCTGGAATGTTTCCGCAAGACCTCATCCAGTCATCTGAAATGTTAATAGAAAAAACTTTGTATATTATGATGCAAAACATATCAGAAAAGTTGTTTTTCTTTTGGAACATGTGTAAAAGGAGAAATGCAAAGTAAATACTACTACTTAGTTATTACTCTTTGTTCTGGCTAATTTTCACCAAATTTAGTTTTTATGTTAATATGGTGTAAACATGGCCGTGATGTTCAGTTAAACGCATGTTTTTACACTATGCAATAAACTCAAACTGGCATTAAAAATGATCAATCATTTATGCAGTGCAAAAACCTAAAGCAGAAGCTCTTAAAGTACAACCATGAAAGAATGTTTTGGGTGTTTCATTTCAGATCAGTGTAATCCGATATACCTGGAATGTAAATTTCTGTCTTCTTGGTCTGATTGAGCTTTCTCTCATGGACTCTGCAGGTCACTCTGTGGTTAAAAAAAAAAAAAGACAAAGTGTCAATTTTACTTTTATTTCAACATTTGAAAAAAAGAAAGAATATGTAATTTAAGCACAATGTTTTAATATCTGATGTAAGACATTTCCCCCATATACAAGGGGAAATTATTTTGTTGCTTTAGTGCCAGAGTAACTGGAGTGTCGCCTTGCATGGAAAACAAGTGTAGTAGTGTGTTCTCCTTCCCTATTAGTTGCTCACGAAACCCCTAATTATCACATGAATAAATGAAAAGACAGTATGTGGAGGCACAAAAGGTTTGCCATTTACTGGCTACTTTTACTGACTTTATCTCAAACACATAAACCTATAATTACCTGTTGATGGGAGTCTGAACAACTGCTCTCCTGGTAACAGTAAAACATTCAGTAGAGTTTGGACCTCTTGTGGGTTTTTCTGCTGTAATCTCGTTCCCTTCATCATCATGAAACGTTATGTCAGGTTCTGGGAACCAGCACTCTGCCTTACACTCCAGGGTCACTCCTCCACCAGGAGAGGAGGGAACAACTGTGAGCTTTGGCTCAGGCATGGCACCTGGAATGAGATTCAACCAACCCTTATAGGACTTTTGATAAGTACAAAGCATAATCCTACCACGAAGTCAAACATAAGACCAAGACTCACCCACGTTAAGGATGATAATCGCGTGAACCTGCCACTGCCTCTCCCTGAAGGTCCTGCAGTGGTACCTGCCTCCATCAGACACCCTCAGGTTGTAAATGATCTCAGAAATGTTGCCGTCCTTCAGTTTGTTCAAAAGAAGGTTTGTCCTGTAGTGGAAGCCCGGATTCTTCATCCCAAACGTCTCGCAGCCATCCCGGTACAGTAAGGTGATGTTTTCCTTTAAGCCCTCCTTGGACCACTCCACTGTGGGGAATTCACCATCGACAGTGATGCGACAGGGCAGGACGACGGTTTCAGTCACAAAGGCTGTCATTGTCTGTGGGACAATATCTGCTGAGGCTGAACCTGCTGGGGAGAATAGCAATAAAAAAAACTATGAAAAGAGAAATCCAATGCTGGTTTTTTTGTTGTTGTTTTTTGTTGTTGTTATTATTATTGTGAAATTAACACAACTGCACTGCTGCCAACAAAGTTTAAGGTATTAATCTCTCATCTGAGGTTCATTTAAACTGCCAACTGACTGGTTTAGAAAGTTTAGCCATGTGTTATCATGGCCTAGTCAAACTCCTGGCAAAAACAAACTGCCAATGAATATAGCATAAGTGGAGAACAATTGTTAAAAGCCAATCCGACCAGAGCACACTTCTATGTGATTTGCCGCTCTGCACTGATTTTGACAAACAGTATGTTGCTGTGGAGTTTACATAGAGTAACAAATATTTACAGTACGATCCGTTCAGGAAAGTGATTCTTAAATCAGAAAGTTTGGAAAGGTTCTGTTCTATTGACACTTTTGAACAGTAATGTATAGGTGATGGGTTATAGGTTTAAATCAGCTTTTAATTCAAACCCAAAAGTAGCTGATTTACATTTACAAATGTAATAACTGCTAAAATTGCATGAGTTTTCTTGTGAAATGCATCAGATAGATTTTAGTAACTAGATTTTGGAAACATGCAAAACACTCAATTAGTTCCTCTATACAAGAGCAAATTTGCTTTAGTCTTAAGAAAACAGTCAGGGCTTGCCAAAAAATGAACAGCTTTTTTTTATATTTTTTTTATTGTTTTTACTTTTAGGTAAAAACAGACAAATCTATTTCGAGCCCAGTAAAGATTTAAAGTCATAACGTTTAACAATCGACGTGTCTTGAACACCTCAACAAGTTTAACTTCTTCGACGCCACAATTTGCTGCAAATAACCCACTTCCTGTTAGCGTTGCGATGTATCACCGTCAGAACTTGTTTTTTATAACTTGTCGCGCAGTGATAAGCTGAAGTGAACCCTAATGCCTAAGTAAAAAAAAAAAAAAAAAGACCCGCACTATACGTAAATGAACAATATATTGCAGCCAAATGCGCTTGATAAAAAAAAAAGGAAAATGTCAGTACCTGATGACAGAAGCCCAAACAGGAACAGGACGCAGCCTGGGTTTGTGACCCAGACGCGGATCGACGATCTGCATGTGAATGTCATATCCGAAAACACATCAACTTCATTCACGGAACTTTCACTAAATCCTCTCTGCCCCGATCCGAAAACTTTGTCTGGCCGTTTCTCTGTTAATCGGTGCCCGGTAGCTAAAGTGCTCGTGCTCTCCTCCTTCTTGTTTGTAACCTCCGTCTACGTCCTCACGCGATGATAGACGGAACGTTCTTATAGACGTCAACCTGACATCCTGAAATCTGATAAGTGGGGCGTGTCAAGGGGCTTGTCACAGGGGAACAGAATTTCGCGCAGAACGATCACAGGTGTTGTGACTATTAGCGCTACCTCGTCAGATCTGGCGAGTTACTCATTACTCATGTTGTAAAAAAAGAAAAAGGAAACTCACTGCCATTCAGCTTCTGTCTCAATCACACAGTTTACAAATAAAGTTTGCTGTGACATTCGACTTACTCTACCTTTTTTCTGACCATAAAACGTCAATAATATTTAATAGACTATTAAAAAGAAATTAGCATTTGACAACGGATTGTGTTGAGGACAGTGTGAATTTCATTTATTACATTATCATTATTAATGTTATTATTTTTAATTTACTAATTTGGTTTGTTTTGTTGTTGTTGTTGTTTTTACTATACATTTTGGCAGTTTCACTTCAAAAATGGCAAAAGATACATTAAAACTACACTATGTTTATATATATTTATAAATAGCTATAAGTGAGGGAGAAAATCCAGCAAAGAAAAGTCTAATTCCATGAGCTTAAATACTGAAGAGTGTGATTGTAGAGAAGATGTAGCAGCTTAGCAGGGTGCAGCTGGAAGTTTAGACAAAATAATAATCTTTTAAAAGGGCCGTAAATGAAGCATGCAAGTGTTTGCAGTTCTGGTGTGTCATGATCCTTTGTTATGGTTGTCAGGACTCTGGCTGCAAGTGTTTTGTTAGACTAACTCTGGCAGGTTAAAACAGTACAACACGGAAACACATTGTGTTTAACTGCTTATCTGACAACAGCATTTATGACATGACTCATGCTGTGTTTGCTCTGAATGGATGTTCTTTGCATATGCAAGACATTCAAGATGTTCAAACTGGTTAGTGATCCAAACAAAAAGGAAGGACACACAGAAGTTTAGAAACTGACTTCCAATGCATAGAGTGAGATTTAAATTCATGATAAAGTCCTAAATCAAGCTGCAACCTTTACCGTTCAAAGATGATGAATGTCTACTGTGATTTCAAAACAGCCAAAATGTTATTTTTATTTTTAGGCTTATTGAAACATTAAGATGTTTATAAGAACAATGGTTTATTTATATATGTATATATATATATATATTATGGGGAAAACAAAGCATATTAGTGAATATAATGAAAAGAAAAATATTATATTTTCTCACAAATAAAAAACCTTTCTGTTAATATTTTATGCATTTAAAAAAAATATTTGTTGTTTTTTGTCATCCTAACCAAAGTCCAAGGAGCCATAATATTAATAACTGTCAGGTAATCAATACATGACAATTATTAATGCACATGTACACAAATAGAAGCGAAGGGGATGTGGAAACATTACATCAAGTGTTTTATGATCAGGGATGTTTACACTGTTCAGAGTCTTTTGGAAACACCAGAAAAGACAGAACAAAATAAGTCACTTTAGATTTGTTTAGGTGGTATTTACCTAAGAGTATTATCAAGTTCTTTCTGTTTTTTGCTATTGATATCAGGGATTCCAACGAGTACATGTACGGAAACCTTCCTTTGGACATAATGGACGACTTCTTCCCAGAAGGTGGCAGTTCTAGAACAGGTGTGTAACATTTTCAGATTCAGACTCACAGATATTTTCTAAATTTCAACAAGTACTGCTTGACAGGGGGATTTCTATTTATTAATTTACATGACGCTTCTCTTGGTTTGCTTGTCAGAACTCTATAAGGCAGGTTCCACACATTAACCATCTGGTTGGTTCAGATGTTGAGCCCCAAATTATTATTTTTTTCTTTTCTTTTCTTTTCTTTTGGCTGTTGAGAACTTTACTGAGAAAGGTATTGTTTATTTGGTTCTTATCAGGTTGTCGCCTTCATAACGTGTTTTTCATCTGGCCCGTAATGCGTTTACAACCCATTTAATCAGACACAATTTTATATCGTCGTTCCATTGAGCAACAGGGCCCTGATTCACGGGGAACGGGAGAATAGAAAATAGCGTGACAGTCGGTGTTGAGAGACCGTCAACACCAGTTGCCTCTGGTTTGGCCACACCGCTTCCCAATGCCCGCCCACCTTCCCTCCGCCCACATCTTGCTGAGTTAAAACTCATGCTGCTTCTCTTTCTCCTCATTCTTCCCGTCCTGCTGTCATCCTCATGGCGTGGATCTTTCTCTCTGTTCTGCCGATCCTTCTTTTGCCTTTTGTCAGAGGCGATTTGGTAACTGCAGCTTTGGGCGACACCGTGAAGCTGTCACCGCAGATTAACTGTGGCCAGAGAACCGCGGAGCTGATTAGGAGGCTGAGTGATCACTCCTCTGTTCGGATGGCCGCCTCGGTTGACGGAGTTCTGCAGCAGGTAGAAGAATACAGTTTACGGCTGAACATCTCCTCATCGGGTATTTTCCTGAAGAATGTCAACTACAACGACAACGGACATTATGAGTTCAGCTGTGGAGACAATATTGAGCGCATCATCGAGCTAAAGGTTGTCTTTATCTCCAACATCTCCGCGTCTGAAGGTGAACCAAGAAAACTTCCCTGCTTCTCTTTAACTCAGGGTGTGGATGTGAAGTTTGTTCAGTGGGAAACTAACGGGCAGGTTGTGATTAAAGTGGATCTTTCCGGTAACGTCGAATATGGAGAAAGATTCACAGACCGAGTGTCTTTGCCACCTGACTGGCGGTCAGTGGGGGATCTGTCGCTGATCCTGGAGCGGGTCCAGCTGGAGGATCAAGGGGAGTATTACTGCTATGTCCAGAAGGACTCTAAAGAGAGAGGAGACCCTGCTGCATGGAGACTGAGGGTCCGACAGGAGCGACCGAGCATTAAAACCTTCACCACTCCGTCTGTAAGTATAGAACTTGGTGCTTATCTCATCTTTGCTCATACTATGTCTTAATTCTCTCTCTCCTCCACAGCCGCTGACCCAAAGACCGCCTGCGCATAAGGAACCTTTGTGTATTCGCCTTCCCGTCTTCATTATCATTATTCTGGTTTCTGCTCTTTTCTGTATCCTGATTGGATGGTGCCTTCGGTCTCATAAATCAAAGGAGGTGAAGAACTGCCTTCATATGAAATGCTGGGACAGAGAAGGCCGCTCTCCAGACCAGGAAACCTCAGCTGGCCTCTTCCCCTAATAGATTACACTCTGCTGTCTGTTTGTTGCATTTTATGTGGAGATTTGCGCCTTTCAGCTCTAACTGGAGCCGAAGTTTTCTCAATAAAACTTTTAAAAAATATTTACAGTTTTCATGGTTCACGTCTCCATTCTTTCAAAACAACGTGGATAAAAAGATTTATAAAAAAAAAACTAAAGCAGCTAAGTTACTGTTAATAAGCAGATAGTTAATTAATTAGAGCAAGATTTTTCACATTTTTGTTTGTCAGCACTCTCATGCACAGAGGTTTTACTGCTATTTTTGTGTGGGTGTTAGAGAGGAAATAGCATCTGTGTGGTTTCCTTAGAGGTAAGATCTTTAAACGCCTCCCAATTTGTATTCTTTTCTTTTGTTTAATTAGTAAAAACAACAGGTGTTACCATGCGAATACAACATGTAAATAAGCAATAAACTCTGTTCACCATTTCCTGCCTGGCGAGTGCAGCGAAATGAGTCACGCCCTCAAGCAATGCAACATAAAACATGAGGATGGCATTTGTTTGCATACAGCTCTTACTCAGCAGTCCGCTAGTTTCTGTCCAGACTGTAATCAAGCGCAGCTGACACTTTGTGCGCAGGCAGTTTCAACTTTACGCTCAGAACATGGTGGAGCTTATTAATCACACTAAGAACAATATCTGTCATCTCTGATCAGGACGCTTTAACGGACCGGAGGCTTTGGAGCGCCTAGCGCAGCTGATCCGCTTCTGCGGGGTTTTTCTCCCGCGGGCCGAGAGAAGCGAGTGTGGGATCAGGAAACGACCAGAGTTCTGCCGTCTTCTAATCACGTCATTTCAAAACCTGATTTCAAAAACGGTCTCGCAGAGAAATACTAAATGTGATGCAACATTTACTAAAAAAAAAAAAAAATTCCCCTCTCACCCTTCGAGAGGGGAATTTTTATTTTTTTTATAAAAAAAAATAAA